AAATATGGTTTGCCAATCACAATAGTTACTAGGTTCACATTATACAATAGTAAACCAAAGCTAAACAAAACAAATTTGCTGATGGCCCAAAATTGAGTGATAGAACTAATACAGTAAAAAAAAATATCCTTTGATGGATTAGAGAAGTGAGGTGAATATACAATAAGGACAGAAGGAATGGGGTAAATTTAACCTTGAGAAAAGATTACTATGAGAAGGGTATATAGAAGCACTTTTCAAGTACATAAACATATGTCATATAGATGATCAAGGTCTGCTGTTTCTTATTCCAAACCATAGTACATGAATGATGGATTTAAATTATGGAAAGCAAGAATAGTTTGATAGTGCAATCAATTATTAGGAAAAGGGGTGGTCTTGTCTTCACAGGATGTGATCAACCATTTGCCTGGTATGTTTTAATATGCATTTTGTACTGAGCGAGGAGTTGGGCTTCATCAAGGGTTGTTTTTTAATCTGTGCCCAATTAGATTGACCCAGATTTAAGAGAAAAGCAGTGGACCCTGAACTGTGGTTTCATTATATCTCCCTATAAGGGTTGAGGACAGATCTTATTTTGTAAAAGCAAACATATGAAATCGATACGCCAGTGCTTCCTATATTATGTTGCTATCTGTATACCATTACTGTCCAATTACTATTACTATGACAATGCTTATACTATACTCAATACTATTACTACTCAATTACTGTTAGCTATTACTCTATTACATATATACATATGTATATATATATGCTCTATACTACTGCTTGTATGCATCAACAGTTCTTAAGACTGTTCTGTCTTGAGTCCGCTCTCTCTGAGATTTCTTCTTTTTCTGTTAATGGCCAGCATGTAAAGTTCCCGCACCCTTTTTATGTTGTGCCTTGTTTTGCTGTGATACTACACTTCTTTCCCTTTGTTTTGGACCATCCAATCCTTCTGAAGGAAAAATGTCTTCTTTCATTTGGTAGTTTGCGGTTTGCTCCAAAACACAAGTCTCCTCTGCTCTTCTCCCATCTGCTGCCACACCTGTTTTAAAGTTGCAGCTTTATTGGCAATTCTGCTATGTTGATGCTGGGGAAAAGGCTCAAATAGAAGGAAAAGAAGGCAGCTTGCAATTTTGCTAAGTGTCCTGTTCTTCCGCAGGCCTCCATGGCCTCTGCCAATTCTTTTCTCTGCTGCAAAAAATACTACATGTCCCCGGAGAGTCAAGCTCAACTCGAGAGAGAGTCTGAACCATCAAAGCAACTGCTCGAATTGACAGCAAGTTCTCAGGATGTCCGACAGAGGAAGTCTTCCACCACTACCCCACTGCCCTAGCCTAGCCTGTTAGGTGACAAGGTAGAAAATAAACCTGTAATTTTCTGTACTGTATTGAACGCCAGTACTTCCGCCTCGTCTTCCAGGACATTGGGAATCCAAAGATGGTTTAATCCCCTCTTAAAAAAAAAAAACATGCCGTGACCTGCCTTTGACACTTTATCCTTCTCCATATTAAACCGGGTGCAATTTTGCCGGCCTCCCTCTGTCGCAACCCCTCCAAAGGAGAGCAAAGCGTTAAACCCCTGCCCGCAATGCCGCATCCGAACTCGAGATGGCGCTCTTTTCTTCTCCTCTTCCCCCTGTTCAACTTCCACTTCTCTGTCCGCAAACTCCGGGACAGAATTGCGAGGGGGAGACGGAGGTTCACCGGACTTGTTGATCTCCGTTCAGAAACGAGAACGCGAGAAGGGGGAGGAATTGTCTTGAAGCACAGCCCGGCTTCTTCATTCTAACTGAGCCCGGAGCCCACGTTCACACGTTCGGTGGATCTGAAGCTGATAAACCCGGGAGTTCAAAGATCCACTGGAGGGCCTTATGGGGTTTTTTTTCCTCCTCCTCCTCCTCCTCCTTCTCAGCGATTTACCTTTCGGGAACGAGCGGCAGGTTTTAGACTTCGGGGCCGCCTGACGCCCCTCCCAATCTGCTCGGTGGTCCCGGGATTTGGTGCACGGAGGGGGGGTTTGCACCGCTGTCTCTCCCCCCCCCCCGTCTGCCGCCACCTTCCACTCCGCCTCCCCGGCTCGCCGGGAGGACACCCGCCGAGCCCGCCTGCCGATCTCGCCTCCTTCGGCTGAAGCAGGATGTAGCTTCTCCCGGCCGATGTCCTCCTCTCCGCCGACAGCCCGCTCCGGCGTTGCTCTGGGGTCGTGGGAAAGGAAGTAAGTGGCGAGGTGAGAGACGGGGAGGGGGAGAAGAGAAATTGGGGGCAGCGGCGGAGGATCCCGTGATCGCTCGGCGCCGTGGGGAGCCGGGGATTCGCCTTGGCGGGCCGCGGGAAATCTGGGCTGGTTTGGCTGGGAGAGGCTGGAGGGTTTTCTGCTCCTCCGACGGATCGCTGGATCTTGTGGTTGAGGCCATCTGATCTGGGAGAAAGCAACAGTGCGAGGAAGGAGAGGAGGCGAGCAGTCGTCTCGGGGTTGACGGCGTTTCCAAATATATACATATAAATATGGATACATGCAGACATGTATATTTTGTTGTTATGACGACTCTCGTGAGTTAGTCCCCGGTGGTGGTGCTGAGGAAGGGTTCTCTCCTTCAGAGATCGGTACAAAGATATGCACATCATTGTTTCCTTTAGGCTAAAAACTCAGTTTAGCTTCTTATTATCCCTACCTAATTGCTAGCCTAATTGCTCCCTCCACCATTGCCAGATTGTTTGGAAGCATTGAGCTGATAACTGGATGGCCTCACACCCCATTTACCACAAATGCATTTATGAATACACACACACATACACACACACACACACACACCCCTTTCCACCCTGGCTCTTCTTTCAACCCTTGCTGATGTCATCTTTTACAAACTTAAGCAGAATGCTTTAGCTTTTGTCTTCCACTATACAGTATTAAAAAAAAATTTAAATCCCAACTTCTCCCATTTCATACAAGGCATAACAGTCCTTTTAATAGCAAATTATTCAAAAGTCTGTCTCTCCTCTCCGCCCTGATGTTTTGTCATCTAGTGAGCTACCTGTAGGCCAACCTTTAAAATAGGTAACGTTCTTTAACTCAAATGGGTTGTGTAAGGATATTTAAAATACTGGAGGGAGGGATGATTTTCTTTAGGCACATTATGGACCTGGGTATGTGTGTGTGTGTGCATGCACATGTGTCTGGGGGTTTGTTTTAACTTCAGCCAGTTTGCTATTGCTCCCACTTTCAGAGAGTAAGAATATAATGCTGTGAAAGTACCATGGTTTTCTTTTGTCTTAGATGTTCTTCAAGTAGAACAGGGGTCCTCAACCTTGGCAACTTTAAGACTTGTGGACTTCAACTCCCAGAATTCCTCAACCAGCAAAGCTGGCTGAGGAATTCTGTGAATTGAAGTCCACAAGTCTTAAAGTTGCCAAGGTTGAGGACCCCTGATGTAGAAGGAAAACTATGTAAGTTTTAAAAGCAAGGTTGCTAATAGATGTATTACGGTATTGTAAATTGTTAATGTCAGCCTGGGCTCCTGTCTTTGAGTTTATACATACAGAAAGATGAGAAGCACACATGAAGAGGGTAAAGGGGAAATATTATTTATTTTCTTTAAATTGTTAAATATAATCTGTTCACTGTTTAAAACATAATTCATCCCTTTGGCAAAGGAGAACTTATCTGGAAAATGCAGCTAAATGCATAGGTACAATGAGCAATGCTTTGATATTTTAGAACTAGTGCATACAAAATACATATTGATATTTCAGTCTGAAAATGCACGTATTTTGGTGGATAGATGATCAGGTAGATCATTTGAAATCAGTAGATAATTGTACTCATAGCTGCAAAACATTTATGTCAGCATTATTGCAAATTCTTCTTTCTCTCTCCCAGGGAAACTATAATATAGTGTATAATGTGTTTTCTTAAGATTTTATACAGAAAAGTACATATTTGAGTAATGGAATATACATTTTGGTGAGCCTGTGTCTGATTATTTCCTTATATGTTCATATGGCATATATACTTTACAGGTAAAGAGGTTTGATTGTTGGTCTTTCTGGATGAAATACTGAGAATCATACTACCTCAGGGTAGTAAACTATCAGATCCTTTAGCTTGTTCCATAGGCCTAATTTCCTACACATCCTTTCCCCAAAACGCAAAGCTTCTGATGATAATAGAAAACATCCTATCAATATCAACCTTATCCACACATCAAGAAGAAAGCTCTTGCTTGGAACCTCTGCTTATATGTGTGTGAGAAGGAACTGTACAAGGAAAGAAAGAGGCTAACTGGCATTAAAATGACAAATATTAACATAGCTTGAATGATTGGCCAGGGTAACACATTATGCACTTATCCGTTCAAAAAAGTCCACAAAAATTTATGTTAATTTTTAATCTAAAAGGAGGATAGGTAAAAATGAAAAACATGAAATGCCTTGCATTTTGAGAAAGTTGAAATGAATTAAAATGGATGCTGGGCTTATGAGGATGATCAGCCTTTTCAGAACAACACAGCACAGATATTTGTGCTCTGGGAGAAGATATGTAAAGAATTCATCTTCAGCACTTTAGGTAGTGGATAGCTCTAAGTGTTCCCTACCACTAAAATGTATGAAATTGGACAAAGGCTGTAGGAAGGCTTTGTTAACTCAGTGGCTAAAAGCCCCTATTAGCATTTCTCCCTTCCTTCAGTTCACTTTCTTTAGGACTTTTTGTTCAGTTTCAGCACCATGACACTGAACAGCAGCCTGTGCTCTTATAGCCCATCTCCTGTCTCTGCTGCTCCTTCGAGCAAACTAACTGAGCTATTTGTATAACTCCCTGATTAATTGGACAACAGGCAGTTTGCAAACAAAGGAAGAAGCTTTCAATTTAATTTGCTGAAGTTACCAGTAATTCTGTGGATTATTTTGTTTACAGGAATGGAGGAGCCGGAAAACAGATGAAGAGAACCTGTCTGGAACTGTGAAGACCCAGGAATCACTTGTCAGCCTGTTTCAATCTTTTAAAGATAAGCAATGCCTGCAGGAATGAATAAACATGGATCTCGATCTACTACCTCTTTGCCCCCGGATCCCATGGAGATTGTCAGGAGCAAAGCTTGTTCCAGAAGGGTCAAGCTTAATGTGGGGGGCTTGGCACATGAGGTTTTATGGCGAACCTTGGACAGGTTACCACGGACAAGATTGGGTAAACTCAGAGATTGCAATACTCATGAATCCCTGATGGATATATGTGATGACTATAACTTGGAGGAGAATGAATATTTCTTTGATAGGCACCCAGGGGCATTTACTTCTATCTTGAACTTTTACCGCACAGGCAAGTTGCACATGATGGAGGAAATGTGCGCCTTGTCCTTCAGCCAAGAACTGGACTATTGGGGAATTGATGAAATTTATCTAGAATCTTGTTGCCAGGCAAGGTATCATCAGAAAAAGGAACAGATGAATGAAGAGCTCAAGAGAGAAGCAGAAACCATGCGTGACAGGGAGGGAGAGGAATTTGATAACACTTGCTGTGCAGAGAAGAGAAAAAAACTCTGGGACCTTTTGGAGAAGCCCAATTCTTCTGTAGCAGCCAAGGTAATATCCAATCTATCCATTCTTGATCTGTGATAGATAGGGCTAGAAAGATGGCAATTCACATTTTCAATTGTACCTTCCTGGTGATTGCCCCTGGCTATTTTTGATGTACAAAGAGATAAGAAAAACTCGGTGATGGTTTAGTTTTTGGAAATCCTTATGTTTTTCAACTTGGCAGGGAATTATGATCTGCAATTATTTTTAATAGAGGTTTCTTTGCAACAGTTATAAAAATGGGATTAACACTGCCTTCTTTTAGAAGGTTCATTCAGAATCCCAGTCTAACCTTGGAATTATGTGGAGATCTCTCATCTATATAGTAACCAGATTTAATCCTACTTAGCTTTTAGAGTCAGTCAATGTCATCTAAGTACTGCTTTGTCACAATGAAGTGAAGTTGTTGAAACAAAGGCAAAAAATTCCCTCTGAACATGACCAGTTATGTGAAAATATGATATAATCCCTGTTTGATTAGAACTTTGTTGTTATATTTCCTTTCATTACTCACGAGGATTAGGGATTAAAGCAATTTTCATATTCAATTTTCATTTTGGCAATCTATAAACCTTGTTTTGTTTCCAATAGATTCCATTATTATCTTTTTCTAATTCTAAATCATCCCAATCCCTTCTAATATATTTGTGCAGATTGTGATGATTTCATTGTAGAGGAAGTCAGAAACCTCTAAAAATTCTAAGCTGCCTCTTATTATGGCTGGGTGTAGTTTGAAGATGATTCTGAAAAGTGTTGTAGACAGCTAGATCCTTCTGTATCAGTCTGAAAAAAAGATGTCACTATTTTAAGGAGTTGCCTTGGAATAATTGGCTGCATCATTGGCAGCCCTTTGAGTTAGGTCAGGTCAGAAAACAGACACCCCATTGATTACAGGAATTTGACTTTATTGTTGTACACTATAATAACAGAATCTTTGAAAACCTGCCAGTTTACCTTATACCAAACAGAAACAGGACTGTTTTGAATTTCTTTCTCACGTTCTCTCCTTCCTTAGAAATAAGTTGGCATTTATTTTCTCTTAATGGTTCTCCTAATGATTCTTGTATTCCTATATCAAGGTTATCACTCAGTGACATGGTCAAGAATTCAGTGAGGACTGTGCTTGCTTTGAAAGTGATTAATAGAAGTACTTCAGAGTTTGCACAAGCATTGCATCTCTCTATTACTAATTAAAGCAGCCACACCTTTTTTGGGTTTTCATGAGCCTAAAAAAAAAAATCTTAGAGCTATAAAAGGTCAAATCATTAAAGCAACTTGACTTTTTCATACTTAACATGAAAGCCTGGAGAAAGACATGACTGTTTCAATGAATACCAAAAAAGGCCCAAAATACTTCTTCCAAACAGGTTTTCAAGGGTGCATTGTCCTATCCCTTATACAGATTGCATTGAAGCCATGAGGCACATTTCTCTCATAGGTATTCTTTGCAATTTATTTCAATTTCTGAACCTGAATTAAACATTTTTAAATTTTATCTTGAAGTCCCACATGACAGAAAGCTGGTCTAGTTGGTCTTTTGGCTGAGGAGTAAACTGTTGAAGACCTGGAGTTCCATTTAGACTGTAGCCCAGCTGCTTCAACAAAAAATGGATAGTACAGGTGGCTATGAGAAGAGGACATGACTTCAATGAGGTTGACTTTTAGCAGAGCTCTTACTTTTCCTGTAAATTATCCCAGGTTCCACCCTTGGCATCTCTATTTTAAAAGTGAATTAGGTAACAGTGATACAGGTTTTATAGGCTAAACAACTTGAAAAGCTTAAGTCAAGCATAGAAGATCTTTTAACCTTAGAAGATCAGATGGCCAACAGAGCCTTGGGTTCCACTTATATAATCTTCCAAAAGTTGTCGCCAAATTATGACGAAGGGGAAAGCAATTTAGTACATGAGCCTATTACTTGCATTTAACTAATTGCGATTACATTATATGAAATTGAATGGAATTAAGTTCAATGTTATATTTGTCCTAGCTTGGCCTACTCTTTGGACTATGATCCTATTAAATGTCAGTGGCAGTCCTTGGCTTGAAAAGGCTGGGTGGTCCTGATTGGAGAATATGAAAATTCCTGCCAACTTTAATGCAAAGCAATGGTGTATAATAGTCCTATAAATACAGCAGCATTTTATACCCCTTTCTTAGGAACTTAAACCCAATATTCATGCAAACTACATCATTTCTAAAAGGACACCAGTTATATAAATCTTCCTTCTGTTAAGAATACCCAAAAATAATAATTCAATCCTCTCTCTCTGCTGTCTGAGATAGAAATATTAATTTACACCTCCTTTATATATGTAAATATAGAACATATGTATCAAAGGATATTGCAATTATCTGTATTGGTACCTCTCAGCCTAATGCAATCTGAAAAGTCATATTTTACACTCACTTCTTCTTTCTTCCATGGAGAAGGGGGGGTATATGGTGGAAAGTTTAATGCTAAAAAAAATCACTATCCTACTTGGCAGTTAATTAAATATTTCATGCTGCTATAGAAGCTATATGTTACCACTAGCAACAGCATGTCTGCAAAGAAACTGGGTACAAATATGGAGACTAATACTGGCAACATGTAATTATTAAAATTGGCAAGTATTAAGATGGTCAAATATCAGGCTCTTGTAGAAAAGCAAGGATTTTGAAATAAACTTCAGGGTAATCCAGGAGCTTCTTGGAAGCTTATCAACTATCATTCTAAGGATGAATTTGCCTAACACATTAGGCTAAGCATTAGGCTTACTTATTTCATATATTTCGCAGTGTTTGTAACCTGTCCAATTCTGGAGGTCTCTGGTGGTACACCGCAAAATAAAGAGAATAGAAATGTGTAATTCTAAACCCCAAAATTAAATGTAGATGAATACCCCCATTCACAACTATGAGGGGCCCCCGCCTCACTGAAATAATACACCCTGACTTGCTTATAGAATATGAACAAGGAGGAGTTGCATGTAGGTCCCTAAATGGGGTTGACACAAAGAAGACCCATATCCCACAAACCTGATAGTAGGGTCTTTCAACAGGCTCTTTCTAGATGACCAGACCAGTCAACTGTTTCTGTTCTGGCTGAGCATCAGGCCACTACAATCAGGCCACTAGCTTAAGCCATAATCTAATTTATTTGACTGGATATAATACTGTATGTCATGTAAAGACTGCAGGTGTTCAGTTAACCTACCACGTTTAGTGTTTAACGTGATCTTAGCATTGGGGAGAAAATTTATATAGTGACTAAGAGCTGGAAATAGCTTGATGGCACATAATTAATCAATCAAGGAACTCTGTCTCCGTTTCAATGATAGAAGCAAAGAAACTTTTTTTCCTGGCTGGATTCCCACTGTGTGCTTAACTAGGTCAGTGAGAGACCTGGCAGGAGAGACAAAGGTAGGAAATCTGGCCAAACAATACTAAAACATATACAAAACACAACTGGCAAAAGATTTTGTTCCCCCTTAGTCCAAGGCTCGGGAGGGCAGAGAGGGCTTTATGGCTAGAGGTTTTGTATGTATATATGTGTTTATTTTTTTATTTAACATGTTGTATGAACAGAGCCAATTTGGTGGGTTAATGATTTGGTGTGTTGTGCTAATATATTGCACTACTTAAGTTTAGCACCATGTGCTAATGTGGCTATAGTCTCAATCTGTTAGGCAAGGATTGTTAATACTGAAGGTCAAAGCATTCCTGGGTGTCAAAAGGTTACCCAGGTACATCTATGAAAGGTGAAGTGGAAAACTCTTCTGCTCTGAATTTTCCCTGTTTTCCACATAACTGCCTACTCATCACTATCTCTACTCCTTTCCACCATGCTTCAAGAGAGATGTGATATAGGAATCCCACTTTCTTGTTTTTCTTTGAAGATGTTTCGCTTCTCATCCAAGAAGCTTCTTCAGCTCTGACTGGATGGTGGGGAATGGAAGGATTTATATTCATTGCTGGTCATTTGCATTCTTTTAGAGAGTCATTGAGGCCGTTTGGAGGTTTACTTGTGTCCTCAGGGTCACCTGACTAGTGCAAATGTGTGTGGAGCCTTCTTGGCTACAGGATGTTTTCTGCCCTTTGTCCCTTCACTGTTGAAGACAGGCGCAGGCTGTTGGGGATGAGCCTGTGTTGTCTGCATCTCAAACTGAAGCACAAATGGTTCCTGTACTCTGCAGTGTTTTCTGGAAATCTGTTGATTGTCCCGCACCATTCGAAGGGTGTTCATCCCAAAGTGCATAGCTAAATATTTATGGAGATTCTCAGTAATTCAGGTCATAGTTGTCCCAAAGTGGTTTTTCAGGAGGCAACTGGACTTTCTTGTTTTTCTTTGAAAGATTCAAAGAAAAGCAAGAAAGTCAAGTTGCCTCCTGAAAAAACACATTTGAGACAACCGTGATTTGAATCTCCATAGTCATTAAGAGATAGTGGTGACAAGATCCAGGCAGATTTGCCAATGTCTTGGGAAGAACAGCATGCATCCCAGAGGCAGGATTTGACCATGTTACTTAAAAGGTCTTTTGTCAGACAGGTGTTTTGTGTAGAGTGAAAGCTGGAAAACCGATGCAAGCCAAAAAATAGGTCTGAAAGTTGAACTGGTTCTCTCGGTCCCTACCAGCAGCCAATGGAGTCTCCTTGAAATACATTTCAATACATTCATGTGAAAAGCCTACAGAGTATTTTGGAACTGAGATTCTTCTACTCAATGGGACAATATTGAAAGAAACTTTTCTTTGCTTAAAGTTCTGGAAGTCATGTCAAAGATTTAGGGGTTGTGCATTAGGAAAATAAATGTTGTCATTTTTATTTTGCATTGTAGCTGGGTCCAAACTGCCTTTGCACTGCATCTGAATAATAAGATCTTCTCTGACATAGTATAAAAATGCATTAGAAGCTGCTTACATTGTATTGATTTACTGTATATGAGGATGATCGTCCTTGCCAAAAATGTCTTTTGTGATTTATACATTATATCCTGGTTTGTCTTTAGGAACAAACAATCCAGCACAAATGCATTTAGCAACTGAAGACATGCATAT